GTCAGGCCCATGACTGGTTTCTATGAACTGCTGGTCAGACTTGCTTCCACCTACAACTTTCCTTATCCTGTTCTGACATCAGCCATCTCTCCCATGGTGTTCCACACAGAACTCAGCACTCATGCTTATGGGGGTTATTAGTGAAACTAATAGGTTACATTTCAGGGTCAGGTACATTAAGGGTGCAGTTCTTTTGTCAGTAGTGTTTTTGTGTTTCAGCTAGGCTAGCCGGCACATCTCTGATCTTCAGCCTTTCCATTTCATGGCCCATTAGCCTCTGTCCTGGTCAGACAAGTGTTACAAAACTCCAGCACTGAGATCAATAAAAGCAATGACAATGCTCTTAAACACCACAAGCCATGTACAAAACTAGAGAACATAACATTTAGCAAATTATTAATCTTACAAAGATAAGTATTTGATAAAACCATTAATAGAAGAAGAAACTTGGGTTTTACACCAAAATATAAGACTTTGAACACTACAAGGAGACCAGATATGGCGATAGGAATGGAAAGTGGGGAGAGAGGAAATTGTAGAGGGAGGGAGGGAAGATGGATGAGGGAAAAAAAACCACACTTACAAGGGGGGTTAATGGGATATTCTTAATGATTTCTTTTGTTGAAATAGGCTGTGCATATAGAATTTGCTTCTTTAAAAACCAAAATTAATTTTAAAAATGAGAAGATGCACAGCCTAAGAACAACCAAAAATACCGCTCCAGATTTCTTACCCTCTGACCTAAATATTGGTCTAAGTGGCTAAAAAAGGTGGAAAATTATAACTAAGTGGATTTGGAGCGTTTAATGAACTACAATTTTATTTCAAACACGAAAAAAACCCCAAAATCTCCAGTGCTGGTAAATGCTCTAAGGGCACCCCGCTCTTCACACCAGATGCTGGCCAAAGACTCAGCTTTCGTCCATCCACGAGTGCACTCCTGTTTCCAGTGCTACTGCCTCTGCTGCTGCTGCTCCACACGGGGGTCTCCTATGTGCTGTTTGTTTTCTTTATGGTAGAGTCTCCTGGCTTCTGAGGTAGCCCTATAAAAAGCTGACAGACCCTCACATTAGAATCTTATCTACCCTATTTTCATTTGGTGAGAGTTACAAGACTAAGGATAAAGGAGCCATGTGCTATAATATCTGCGAGGTCCATCTTTGGTATATGTTGCAGTAGTGTATTGATTTTCAATGTTGGATAGAATTCCACTGCAATAATACCACACAGCTTTATGTATCCATTTAATTATATATATAAATATATGTATGGTTGTATACATATATTTTATTGTGGTTATTTTATTGGCATATACTTGACATATACAATTCAATCATATTAAGATTTGTTCAATCATCACCACATGATGATTTTCTTCTCATATTCATTGTTTTTAATCTTATTTTGCAGTGATTTCTTTTGCTGTTTTTAATAAAATTGATATAGATATCTTGTACATATCTTTTGGTGGGTGTGTTAGCCTGGGTTGATTAGAGAAACAAATCCAGAGATACTCATGTGTGTATGAGAGAGCTTTATATCATAGAGTAATTGTATATTAAAACATCTCAGCCCAGTCCAGATCAAGT